CGCCTTCCCAGAACCAACGTTTGCCCTTTGTGCGCAGTGAGCGTGCACGTGTGCGCACCATGCCAGTGGAGGGTCTGGGCCTGCGCTCCTCTGGCTCCCGAGCTCGGAGTCTGTCGGACCCATCCTGCACCTTAGTGCTTCCAGGTTCTTTCAGTCCTCTTCAGGGTAAGGCACACCCTCCCCAGGTAACTTACCAGAGCACTCCTGCCCAGGCCCTTGTGCCCCACACTCTGCTGCTGTATGTCACTCCTGTGCCCGAGCCACACGCATGTGCTGGCAGCAGGCCAGCCTTGGTCCCGCCAACCTCTTTCCTCTGCACCTCTGTGCCTTCACCCCTTTCCTCACCTACTGGTGCTCAGACATCCTGCACAGATTCCCTGACCCAGATCTGTCCAGGAAGAGCCCGAGCCTTGCGTGAACCCCTTCTCCTCCACCTCCTCATCATATTGCCCCATCTGTCTGCTCTATGAACTGGGAGATGGCTTGCTCCAAGAGAAGGGATGACAGTGTTCCAAGTTGACATTGGCAAGGCCACCCTAAATGCAGGTACCTCACCCCATGCACCCTGCAGCACAGTGGTCCTACAGTGCCGTAGAGCCTGGTGGACTCCTCTGTCACCTGGTCCCCTGTGAACAAAGCCCAGGACACACTGTGGGCTCCCCTTGAAACTACAGCAGCATGCAACTGACGCTGGACATCCGCAGGCCTCCCACACCTGACCCAAGTCAGGGCCTCAGTTTGCTGTAGCTGAGTGCTCTCCCTCCTGGCTTGCACTGCGGCCCTGCCCCTCTTAAGACCCTTGACCCAGAAGCCAAGCAATCCTGAAGTCAGATGGCAGCTCTTCTGCTCTGAACCTCTCTTGAGTCAGGGTCAAAAGCAGTGTTAACCTGCTCAGCCATCTCGCCTTCATCGTCTTCTGCATTTATCTACCAGAGGGGATCGCCCCACACCCTCTGTCCTCATTGAGAGTTCCAGGGGCAGCTCTCTGGCCAGCTCCCCCGGCAGCGTGCCAGGCACCCTGCTGCCCAGGGCCTTCGCCCCCGCTCTTCCCTGTGCTCCTTCTGTGCCCGTGGGATCCCACTTGCAAGTCTCTGCTCACCTGTCACAGCCCCGGGCCTGCTCCGGCATGCCCCTCCCAGGCCCAAAGGGACTGTTTCCGCACTGTACATAATGCTGTCTTGGGCATTACGCTTTAGTTATTTGTTCTGCTTTCCCCTGTCTCCTCTACTACAGTGTAAGCTTGAGAGAAGGCAGGAATTTATGCTTTGGTCACTTCGGTGTCACTGGTGACTCAGTGATCACCTGGCACACAGTTGGGGTTCGAATTTAAGTGAACATGGAATGGAGGGAGGGGGACCAAAAGGGCACTGAAAGGTAGAAGCTGCCTTTGTTCCCCCAAGAGATGAGGGGCGGGGCATCCAGAGTGCGGCAGGCCAGCTCAGTCCAAGGAATTGCTGGCACTATTGCTGAAAACGCACAGGGCTTCTGCACAGAGGCCGCGGGCCGGCTCCCAGGGCCCCGAGAGAGCCATTTCAAGGACCATGATAAAGCAAGAGTTTCCTGCCACCTGCCATTTTTATCTCACAAGCTTGAAAGGCTACATAATACCATCATATGCCAGGTTTTCCTATCACCACCCTTAATTTTCAGCAAAAGGCTATGAAAAAACTTAGGAGAAAGAGGAGTTGTTCCGTGAACGCAACCAAAGAAAGCATGGACTCTGAGGAACCGGGAATGCTGTAGAACTTAGTATGTCGCGTGGCAGGTTCACATGGAAATAGGACCTGCGTCCAGCTAACAGCAGGACTAGCATTTGAGCTTCGTCACCCTGATAATGAAGGAAAGCCTCTTGGACGTTAAATTGCAGAAGCTTACTATAAATTTCTCGCCTACAAAGTGGTGCTGGCCTGTGTCACGGTGCAGCGACAAGAGGGTCTCCTCGGTGAGGACACTGGACCCACTCCGCTGACCCTGTTCTCTGGACCAGAGGCCCTGGCTGCTCCTCCCAGGGGGAGTACCCTGGGAACGCTGTACTGTACCCACTGGGCAGGCCCGAGTACTCACCTCCAGTACACTAGCACGGCGATGAGAAGGATGAGGCACACGACGGTCAAGGCTGAGACCACGATCAGAGGGATGATCCACTCCATCCTCCCTGGAGAGACGCGGCTTATCATCCCAGAGGTGTTCTTTTCCGCTGTGGAGAGAGAGAGCAGCTCAGTTAGACAGATGAGGCAGCAAGCGTGGGAGGCAGAGCAGGCCGTGGACTTCAGTGTGTCTTCCAGAGCCCGGCAGCTGCTGGCTGTCCTGTGCCAGGAGGAAGCATCCGCAGGCCTCTGTGCCACCTGTCCCAAGCCACGTGCGGTCTCTCAGGCTGCATCCTCTAATGGCCAGGGGCAAGGATCTGCTCACAAGCTGAAGGGAGCTCTGCAGCAGACGGAAGTGGATCCTGACTCAGGTCATTCCCACCCTGCTGGATGCAGTAGGGTGTGAGATCAAATCCCCAGAGGGCAGGAAGGAGGTAGGGCGCCTCCTGTGTTCCCTAGAGCCAGGACCTCCTCTGTGGTAGGGTTCATGAGGAACCGTGGCAGCCCTGGGGGCTGTGATGCCTGCTTGTTGCCAGTTTCTCTTCCACTGCCTCCTCCTGCAGTGGCCGCGTGCCAGTTCAGCTTTGGGATGGTCATTCAGTATACGCCTTGGTGCTGTCACCATGGTGGCCTGGGATTTTCGATGGCATAGGGCCCTCTGGACACTGTCTCCCCAAGGATGTCAGACAGTGCCAACATCCATAAGCCCTGTGAGTATGTGAGTACTTTCAGTACTCTCTGCACAGAAGAAGGTGGCTAGCCGGCCATGTGTGGGGACAGAGGGAAGCAGACGCAAAAGCCGTGTCTCTTCCATCCAGACAGCTGGGAACATGATAGTTCCTCAGGCATTCCTGGCCAGCCAGGGACACGGTGCGCCTACCGTCCTGCAACCAGGAAGGTCACCTCGGGATTTCTGCACCTTCTGAAGGGGTCAGCAGTGGTTGTCTCCAAGGCACCTTACAGGGTCCCTGAAGTCACCTTACAGGGTGAGCTTCCAAGGCACCTTACAGGGTCCCTGAAGTCACAGGTCCATCTGTGTGGTGGCACTTTGGTCTGTCCCTCTCTTGCCTCCTCCCCAAGTGAGTACTGAAAGTTTGCTTCAGCTGCTCATGGAGGCCTAGAGTCAGAGCAGGTGGTGGCCACCGCCGCTGGAGGGGAGAATGTTGTCTGCGTGTTCAGGGCCTTGCACGCGCAGCCAGCCTGAGCGGGGCTGGGTGTAGACTCACCTCTGTGTGTGCTGCTGTGGGACCTCACCTCATGGCAGGGGCTTATGGATGTTGGCGCTGTCTGACATCCTTGGGGGGACAGTGTCCAAGTAGCAGTGGCTGTGGGGCAGCCCTCAGGGTGACAACTGCTGGCAGTGTGACAGCCTCAGGAAATGCTGCTTACCACAGCAGACCTCTGCCTTTGTTCCATTCTTAGAGGCTAGCTGTGGAGCATGCATGTGGAGGTGATATTGTATCAGATCCACAGAATTTGTCCTCTCTTTACCATAAGACTTGATTCCCAGCTCCAGGTGACACTTGAGGGCTGCTCCTACCACTGTCCAGTGGTGGCAGCTCAGGCTGATCCTGAGTTCCCACACAAGAGCACGCAAAACCTCTGTGGTGCATTGCATTGGCTCTTCCTGCATGGGTATAATGGGCACTGCATGGCTACTAGAAAGCTACCAGGCAGGCAGGGCCCTGTCACACAGGTGTCCTTGAGAAGTCCCTGCCCCACCAAAGGTCCTGGAAGTGGGAATGGGATTTCCTCCACAAGCACAAGCTGTGGTTAGCAGCTCTGTGCCCTGGGAAGCCAGGGCACCCAGAAGACTGGGACCTTGCACTGCCCCTCACTAGCAACTCCACAGAGTGGGCTGGCAGAGCCCCATCCTGCCCTGCCAGGGTCAGTCTTTCTACACTGTGGCCTATGGGTAAAGAAGAGTTGACATAACAAGGTGTGTAAGCAGAAGCAGAAAGGCTTCTGTGGAAATGCTCAAGGCCAACAGAAACGGCTTGAGTTACTAGGTGGCACACGCCCTTCCTGCGGGGTCTCCACCTGCATCCACAGTCCGCACTGCTCAGACATTGTGCACCAGGCCTGCTCTCCTCAAGGGCCCCTCCTGCATACTTGTTCTAGCGAGCCAGTTTCCCTGTGCAAAGTGGCACTGCCACCAATGCAAGAGAACAACCTAACCTTGAACCTTCCTTCCTCCCTCCTGTCATTCTCATTCCTTCCTGCCTGTGCATTCAGCCATCCACCTAACCACTGAACTATACATCCATTCATGCCTTCAGGTATTCATCCATCCATCTACCCATCCATCCACCTACCCACCCATCCACCCACCCACTCATCCATCTATCTGTGTCTCCATCCATCCATCCCTCCATCCACCCATCCACCTACTCACCTGTGTATCCACCTATCCTTGCATGCATGCACACGTCCATGTATCCATCCACCCATCTAACCATCCATGCATACATCTGGATATCCATCCATCCATCCATCCATCCATCCATCCATCCATCCATCCATCCAAGCATCTATCCACACACCCACCCAACCAGCCACCTACCCATCCATCCATCCATCCATCCATCCATCCATCCATCCATCCATCCATCCACATCCATCCATCCATCGATCCATCCGCACACACCCACACACTCATGTATCCATCCATCCGTCTGCCTGTCTGTCCATTCACCCAACTACCTATCTACCCTCCCATCCATTATTGCTGGTGATCAGGCCCAGGGCTGCTTTACCTCGAGTTACAATCTCAGCCCTTTAAAAAAAAAGAGATGGGTCTTACTAAGTTGCAGACATGGGACTTAAACTTGTGATCCTTCTGCCTTAGCCTCCCTTGGTGTTGAGATTAAAGCTGTGCTACTGTTTCTGGATTCCTTTTATATTTGAAGAGGTTTCATTTTTCTATGAATTAGAAATCAACCATGCTGCGGCTCCACCTATATACCACTGTGCACTTGGTCACCCCTGAATACCTCTGCACTCCACCCCACATGGATGGGGTGCAAAGCTCCTGTGCTTGAAGGGTCAGGAGCCAGGCAGCCAGCTCGGACCCAGCCCTCGAGAATGTGTGGGCTGCAGAACCACCTTCACAGGAAGCATGGGCAGGGATGCCAAGCAGCCCCTGAGCACCAGAGAGGAGGACGGGAAGGCTCGGCCACCTCCCGGCAGCTTTGCTGGGCTCACAGTCTCCACTCCCACATCGAGCAGCCTCTGAGGAACATGCTTCTATTCTGCTTTTTAAAACTTAAAAAAAAAAAAAAGAAAAGAAAAGAAAAACAGTTTTCAGTGGCATATGTCATCACTGAATTAATGCTGTTTGCCTTTTCCTGGCTTGGCTCTCATCCCAGTAGAAGCAAATAGGAACAGAGCACAATGTACTACAAATGCGAGGAGCAGCCCTATACGGATGGACCGAGCTGAGAGACTCCATGCCCCGTGATGTGATGCCATCACAGGCAGAAGTTGCTTCTCTGTCCACTAATGGCCTCATGGGCACTGGAGTGATTTCAGCCCTTGGGTATTGTGCACATGAGTGTACAGACAGCTGTGCCACTGAGGTGCCAGTCCTCTTGGGTAACTGACCCAGGGATATCTATTTAATGTGACACACATTACAGGAATAGTTAAGATCTGTCCCTTCAAAAAGTGAGAGGGTCATAGAGAGACCCTACCCTGGCCACTCACCAAATAAAATAAAAGCCGGAGACTGTGCCCATGTGAGAATGGGGTGGGGCGGGGTGAGGAGAGCCCAGTGTACCCTGCTCAGCCTCAGCCCCAGCGCCGCCTCTTGTGTAGTACCTGGGCCTTTGCTCTGGTTTCTGCACACACTGAGTTTGCTCCCTCTGGGGCAGGAGCCTCCTTTCCTTC